TCTAGATGATGAAATTAAAAGTATTTGAGGTTTGTAGATGATTAAATATATTTTAAAGCTTCTTCCTACCTTTACATGAACAGGATAGAAGAAAGGAGGTTGCCCTATGCTAAATGGTTTTCTATCCAGCTCTGAACTCTGGGGAATTCTGGTTTATTGATGTCAACGATGAGGGGAAAAACCTGCCTCTAGAATTCTAGGCATTTGCCTTGAGTGAACCTTTCACTCAGGCTGGTGGTCAGAGCCCGTAAAGGGACAGAACAAAAGGATGTTCTCAAGCCTACAAAAGAAACAGTTTTTATAAACTGTTTTTAACTTTCTTGTTAATTGATGTTTAATTTAAAACTGTTAGTGTGGTACAATGTGATTTGAGATTTGATTTCACTTATTGACTGTGATGGCGAGATTGTGGAGAGAAGAGGTAATTCTCAATATCTCAACTTCTTTGTTGTCTATCACATGTCCCATAGCATGTTCAATACTGAACTCCCCATCTTCTCAATCTCACCCCACCCCCCAACTACCTCTTCCTATGTCCCAAATACTGGTCCACAGACTGCAAGAGTATCATCTGGGGAAATGTATTAAAAATAGAGTCTTGGCTTCCACTGTGATCTGTTGAATAAGAATCTCTCAGGGTAGAGCCCAGAAATCTGAATTTTAAACAAATTTCCCAGGTGATTCCAATACACCACTAGATTTAGGAAGCATTGCCCTATATGACCAAATGGCACCAGCATCTGAGTGTCATCGTGTAGATCAGGCTTAAAAGGGGAAATACTCAAACAGAATTGGAGCAAACTCTACTCATTGAAGAGGCAAAAATCTGTTATCAGCATGTCTTGGCCTATGTTCTCTCTTCTTTGTCTCCTTCAACAGCAATTTTCTGACTTAAACATTCTGCTTTTCCTTTGTAGGGAAAGAACTATCTGGTGGTAGTCTATGTTTTCCTTGGAGAGTACTTTCTGGATTCTTTACCTTCATAATTAGCCTTATGCATTGGTGTTGAGCAGTAGGGATGGCATTCTTCACTCTGGGTCACATTTCTTGGTGTTAAGAATTTAGGGACATTTGATATAGATAGGATCTTTTTGGGGGCGATGGACTAGTATATAATAAGGTCCTACAAGATCTCTGGGAATAAATGTCACTCCTGATTAGCATCGAAGACAACCATCTCTGAACTGAGGCTGAAAACTTTCCTGACTCCTTAAAACTGATTTAAGTGTTCCATCTCATGCTTCCCTCGTGCCTGTCCTATCTAGCACTATAGGACATGCTGTAATTGCTTTATACCACACTGCCTTTATACCCCCCCTAGACTGTAGGCATCCTGAAGATAGTTTCACCACTCAGATTCCTGGGCATGATACATGGTGTCATGGGACTGATAGAGGCCTTGGAGTATCTAGTCCAACATGTCTCATGGACGCTGTAGAGTGGATTCCTGCAGGAAGTGCCAAGTCAATGGCTTCTAGTCTGTACATAAGAATGGATGAGAAAGAGAAGGAGCACCAAAGATGAGATAGCTTCTGTGAGAGCATAAGCTGTGAATGGTGTGATCCTTCAAAGCAGAGGTGCTAGCTGAGCAGCTGGCAGAACTACTGGCTTCTTCCTCTTTTCTAGGCCCCTCCTGGTCACACCACCCTCCCTGCTGAGTTATGGCCACCCTGCTGACTCAGGCAAAGGTGAAGCTAATGATGCTAAGGATTTTAAGGGACCTCATACACAAAGTAACTGCAGATACAAGCCACTTAGAGAAAGATATACACATTTAAGCACATCATTACAAAATGCAGTGTGTCCTAGAAGATATTGGTTTATAATACTGTCTCATAGGCTATTCTATCAGGTTGTTGTTTTTTTAGCAGACATTTTTTCCATAGAAGGTTTTAAAATAGGGTGATGAGATGCTTTTAGGCTCAGCTATACCTGGGATCAAATAGGCTTTTGAATTTGGCTGTTTTTCTATAGGACCTGCCATTCCTCGGGGGCCTGTGTTCACGATCCAAACAGTCAACTTGTAAATAAACTTATGATGCAAGATTTTTTGTAGAGTTCATCCTCTTGTGGATCAGAAAAACATTTGTTTTCTTTCTCTCACTCATTTGTGTAATATAATGAACAAAATAAACTGATGAACAAAAATAGATCCAGAGAAAAGAAGCAGACTTGTATGCATGCATATAAGCCTAACCAATGGACACAGACACCAGGGGGGTGAGGGGATGAGGGGCAGGGGACAATGGGGCGATAAGGACACATGTAATACCTTAATCAATAAAGAAAAAATAAAATAAAATAAGTGAAGGGAGTTAAGTAAAAAATAAAATAAAAATAAAGCAAAAAAAACAAACACCCACCCCCCCAAAAAAATCCCACAGTTGTTTTCATCACTGTGAGAGGACTTCCTATAAGTGTCCAACAAAGAGCAAATAAAATAGAACAAATGAACAATGCTTGAAGATGACTCACAAAACTGACTTCTTATATTAACTTAAAAGAATAGGTTACCAAAAGAGATAGTAGAATCCTTTTTTCTGGTAATCCTTAAAAAAAAGATTAAATTTGCAACTACCTAGAAGAGTTTAAACATGACCCGGGTGAAAGGGATACCCTTTCCAACCAGCCCTATCAGCTTTCTGCCTTTCTTAGAACAAACATACCCACAGGTGTGCCTCCCACAGCTTGGTTCTTACCCGAGCTCCTGAGGGCAATGCCACGTATACATCCAGAGCCACGGTCCCAACTCTGTGGCCAATATTTGCACTTCCATCCAAATACTCATGTGATAGTTCATTACGAGGAAATGCTCACCTTTAACAAAGTCCTTGAAAGCTAACAGTGTTGTGCAGATGCAGGAGGGAGGCATCTAGCTGCCTATTGGCTCATTCTTGCAGCATCAAGGAAATTTATAAAGTGCTTTCAAAAGCAGGATCCATTCAATTTGCTCAAAAAATTTAAGAAGGCAGATGTATAGGAGCATACTGACTTTTTATTGTGCTATCTTTATTAACAATCGTATAATTATTAGAAGTCAGAAACTGAATGAATAACCTAGGCAACAGGAACATATATTTTGATTAGGTAGAACTTATGTAGTTTCTTTAAGTCATCTCAGGATGTTGTGGCTAAGATATATTTTCCTTAATCAACAAAGGTATTTATTAACAGTAGCACTTATAATAAAAATTAGGAACCAATGCTCCCCACAATAGAAAGATAGCGTGGGGGGAAAAGGGGTTCCAGAGTCAGGCATATAGGTATTTATAGGTAGAGGAGATATAAATACGTATCCTGTTGGTTCTGTTTCTCTGGAGAACCCACACTAGCACAGACCCCGGCATCAGTACTTTTTAAAGCTCCCCCATTGGTTGAAATGTTCAGCTAGGGTCACAGAACCTCTAGTCTGTGAGTTCTTAAGCCCTTATGGGGCCCAGGGTGAATTCAAAGGATCTGAGAACTCTCTGAACTCAGAAATGAAAGTGTGCATTTATGTTGACCATATCTGATCCAACTCCCAGCTGACATCCTTACAAGATAATTGTTAGGTTTTGTTTAAACATCTCGTCTTGGAAAACACCCTCCTCTCCGAGAAAGCCCGTCTCAGAACAGTTCTAAGGAAACTAAGAAGCTGATTTTCTAGGACTGGGTGAAAAGGTGAAGGGGTTGAGAAGTACAGATTGGTAGCTCCAGAATAGTCATGGGGATGTAAAGTACAGCCTAGAAAATATACTCAATAATATTGTAATAACTATGTTGGGTGCCAGGTGGGTACTGAAAATATCAGGGGGTGGGGTAGGGGGAGGAGCACTTTGTAAAGTGTATGATTGTCTAACCCACTACCCTGTACACCTGAAAGCAATACAAAATAATACTGAATGTGAACTGTAATTGAAAAAATCAAAACAGAAGTTGATTTTGAATAAAAGAATCATAAAACATTAGTCAGAAGGATGTCTTCATGTGCAAACTTTTCATTTTATAGAGGAAAAAAGTGAGGCACAGAGAAATTAGGTGTCTTGCCCAAATTAACAGACTTGATGACAGGTTGGAGGAGGAAAGCCCAAGCCCCCTGGCTCCCTGTTTAGTTCCCCTCCCACAGGGCGTGCAGCAGGGTCCCTTCGAGGAGATGATGTGAGTGACAGTGCAGGATGAGCAGGGCTGGGGCGTGGCTGAGGGAAGGCCCCCATCCCCCCATCCTGTACCATCACTCTGGAAGGGAGGATTGGAGGGGAGCAGCCCACCTCCTCCTTTCATGCTGGGTGCCTCCCACCCCCACCAGTCCCCACACGGATGGAGATGGAGATACCAACAAAACCCAGCTCCATGGTTGTGTTGATGTGTCACAAGGTAGCAAATGGGAGACAGTGGTCTATCTTTTCCCCACAAAGAGACAGATGCAGGTGCTGAAGGAAAGGGGCAGGGAACATGCCTGCCTCTGGTCCCCTGGAAGGTGGAAGGTGTAGGATGATAAAATAGTGGTCTGCATGTCTAAGATCATCCTAGTGGATTTGTAAATGTGCATTAAAATTTAAGTTCTATTAAAGAACATTGACTCGTTTAGGGTGAAATCAGGCTCCTTAATAATTTGGACTCATTATGTTCAATATTACAATATTTTCCATTTTACTACTGCATAGCTTAGTATCTTACTGGGTTGTTTAAAATCTCTATGCCTGGTTGCCTTGTCTACAAATTGAGGTTAATACTATCTACCTTAGAGCCGCAAACAACTTTTGTATGGAGTGAATTACATAACATATAAAGTGGCTAGCAGAGTGCCCAGCACACAGGATGTATCCAATTATTAGTGGCTGTTATTATTATTAACACAATTATCAAAATGCAAATATTATAATGACCAGCTATGCTCATGAGGTTACATCATAGTATATTCTGAATCCCAACCCCCACCCACAGAGCTTGGCACAAATCTATGCCCATGGTAGGTATCAGTAAGAATTTAGGTTGAACTAAATCGAATGAACCACTCCTACCGGATTATTCTGTTCTTTCAGGGGTATTTCAGGTCCAAGTTCTGCCTCAAGGCTGATGGCATCAATGCATTGGGCAAGCACCTCCTCGGTCACTTCTCCATTGGGGGGCGGATCCATGGCACTGGTGTCTTTGGGCTGGTCAGTGTCAGCAATCTCCTCAACCTGAACCGCTGCATTTTCATGCGCATCTCCTCTGGGGTCAGCCAGCGTTGGCTCATTTGAAATCATAGCTGAATCACAGTGCACCTCTGCATCTTTGGGTAAAGAATCACTATTGGGCATCTCGGTAATTTCTGCTTTGTCTCCAGGGGCTACAGTGTCACCAGCATCATCAGACATCTTATTATCTGCCAACATAATTACAAACAAAAACTTTCTGTTTTAATCTGAATTGTTGAACTTTAATTCAAAGCCCTGAATGATTAAATTAAGTCTGCTGGGGTAAATCAATAATAAACTTTATGTAACCTTGGGGTGGACTGAATAAATATCCCAAAGATATCCTAATTCCTGGAATCTGTGAATATTATCTTATATGGCAAAAGGGACTTTGCAGATGTGATCAAATTAAGGATCTTAAAATGGGGAGATTATCTTGGATTATCTGGGTGGGTCCTAAATGAAATCCTAAGTATCCTTAGTAGAGAGAGGCAGAGGGAGATTTGACTATCAAGAGGAAAAGGTGGTGTGCTGACAGAAGCACAGATTGGAGTGATGCACTTTGAAGACAAAGGAGGGGGCCATAAGCCAAGGAATACAGGTGACTCCTAGAAGCTGAAAAAGTCAAGGAAACCCTTCTCCTCTCAGAGACTCTAGAAGAAACCAGCCCTACCAACACTTTGACATTAGCCCAGTGAAACTCATTTTAGACTTCTGACCTCCAGAACTGTAAGAGAATACATTTGTGTTGTTATAAGCCACTAGGTTGTAATTTGTTACAGCAGCAATAGGAAACTAATAAAACCTACAGTGCTATCTTTAACCTTTCATGGATCTCTTGCTTGCTTTGCACCGATATGCATATGGTAACTAGAAGTATTATTTGAATCTGTGAAATTATTTATGTAGTAAGACTTGGTTAATTATATTTGTTGCAATGAGAATTAGCATAGAAAATACCTAAGAGCTTATTAAAAAATACGTGACATTGAGCTCAGCCATGTCATCAGAGATTCACATTGAGAAAGAGACATACATGCACATAAGTATGCTTTGTTGGGTACCAGCTGGTGAAGGCCTGTGCTCTGTTTGAATAATAATTTAAACAGGGATGCATGAGGATAAAATGGGAAGCAAAGAAGTGGTGTATTAAGCCAAAGAGGAATGTAGCCATTACAAAACAACCTGAGAAGCAGAAAACTCATTCTCATGTAGATATCATGTAGAACCTCGCTGTTCAATACAACTTTCTCTGATGATGAAAGTGTTTTATATCTGCACCATCCAGTGTGGTAGCTAATAGCCACATGTGGCTACTGAGCATGTAAAATCTGGGTACTGCCATATTAAAAATGTTAATTTTATTTAATTCATTTTATTAAATACATTTTAAATTTTATTTCATTTTAAATAATTAAAATTTTAATTTTACATAGGCCTATATGGCTAGTGGCTACCTTATTGGATAGCACAGATCTAGAAAGTAGGTTCAAAATGATAATTTTTTTTGGATAAAACGAAGACAGTGTTCTCACTACACAAGAAGCCAAGTCTCAGGCAAATCAATGGGTATTTTTGTTGACCATGGTGTTTACCAATTGGTCAAATCTCAGGTTGCTGCTAAAACCATGGGATGTGAGAAGCTAGTTAACATACTGGCCACCTGGTGATGTAGACTTAGAAAGAACTCATATCCCCAACCCTCATATCCCCTCAAAGAGCAGTAGTCTGGCTAATTCCTTTTCCTGCTACATTCTCCCCCTTGGTGAAGCACATGCCTTTCTGTTTATCACACCACTTGCATGTCGTGAATCTCAAATGTCTACCTCCAGTCCATGGAGACAGAAAGTAAATTAGTGGTTTCCAGAGGCTGAAGGGAGAGGGAATGAGGAGTGACTGCTAATGCGTACAGATTTCCTTCTTGGGTGATGAACATGTTTTAAAATTAGATAGTGATAATGGCTGTACAACTGTGTGAATATCCTAAAAACCACTGAACTGTATACACTTTAAATGAGTGAATTCTGTGCCCTAGTTGGTCTCGCTCAGTGGATAGAACGTCAGCCTGTGGACTGAAGGGTTCCAGGTTCGATTTTAGTCAAGGGGACATGCCTGGGTTGTGGGCTCGATCCCCAGGAGGGGGCATGCAGGAGGCAGCCGATCAATGATTCTCATCATTGATGTTTCTATCTCCCTCTGCCTTACTCTCTAAAATCAATAATATATATACATAGTGAATTTTATAGTATGTGAATTTTATGGTATACAAATTATACCTTAATTACTAAGACTATACACTGAGTGGCCAGATTATTATGACCGGCCAGATTATTATGACCAGCCAGATTATTATGACCACCCCATCAGTACAATGAAGTGAATTAGTTATGCAAATAATAATAATAATAATAATAATAATAAAACCTTGAAAGTATTTGCTTAGGAAGTTTTTAATATTCAGTATTTTTGGAAGTGTCAATGAAGTACTGATGGGGTGGTCATAGTAATCTGGCCGGTCATAATAATCTGGCCACTCAGTGTATATATGTAATATATAGTGTTATATATTAATATGCTGTTATAAAGAAAGTCTACCCCTGGATAAGTAGCTCTAATGGCCAGTTGGACATCTCTTCCTGGACAAAAGGAAACTTGTTGTCTTATCATTAACACTAGGTCTTCCTCTTAACTTTTGTGTTTCATTTAATGGCACCCAGATGTCCCCAATTACCCAGGATAATCAAGGTTGGAGATGGTCTGTCAATAAGTATGACCAATGCCTAGTTGAAACAGTAAAGAATGATACAAGGCCGCTGTACAGAACAGGGTAGTTACTGTGGTTCATGGGGAAGGGGTGGGAGTGGGGAGGGGATTGAGGGAGGCTACTTGAAAAGCCACTGTCATTTGGAAACTTATAAGATCTTTGGGAAAACATTGTCAGGATTGGCTTAGGATGGAAGTTGGCAAACTAGAGCCTGCTGGCTAGATCTCACCCTCCATCTGTTTTGGTAAATAAAGTTTTATTGGGACACAGACATGCTCATATGTTTATGTACTTCCTATGGCTTCTCAGAGTTGAATAGTTGCAACAGAGACCATATGGCCCACAAAGTCACAAAGCCTAAAATATTTATTATCTGGCCCTTTACAGAAAATGTTTGCTGCCTTATAGCCTAGGATACTGCTTGACTGCCATGGCCTAAAGAGTTCTCCGTCCTAATTTATCCTATCCTCATCTGGGTGCTAGGGGCAGGACCATAAGGAGAATGGGTCTATGAGTAAATGATGTTGAGACATCACTTTTATTCCTAGTTTTGGTTCATCAATAGCTGGTCACAGACACTGTCTATTTTCTCTGTAAGATAATTTGAAAATCCTTATCATTAACCTGGATTATTAAGAAGCTCCGAACTATTTCACTTTTCTATAAGCAGGAACATAAACCTGGCTGTGATAAACATTCGTGGGCAAATAAAAAGCATTATGAACACGTTGTCGTGTGTGCTCTGCCCTAAATGTGTTATGATACCATTCATAATGTTAAAATACTTCAGCACATACCAGATGCCATGTGTGCGGGTTAGTTGTCATTTATGCCCTGTCAGTGGTGGGTTAACATCTGAAGCCCCGTATTCAGGAATATGCTCGCCAGAGGTCTTTAGTTAGCATTTCAGTATCTGTAACTGAGAGTTCACCTCTTGAGAGGGTTCAACTTTTACCCTCTCGGATAGGTACTCCAGGGTGTGCTAATTAGCATAAGGGATATTAGAAATCATTTTCACTGATGAAATGGCAATGGGGCTTAAGATAGGTGACTGGCAAGAAGTAACGTGCAGGTTCTTCCTGCCCTTCCATTACCAGGGCACACAATTGCACTGAGCCCCGCAGCTTATTGCCCTGTGGAGTAGAATTTTTCTAGTTCTTCTAGCTGATTTTGGGAGAACACAAAAACTGAAGCTGAAGAGGTTACCTGAGTCCTCCCAGAGGCCCAAAAGGACAGAGCTAGGACATCAAGCTCCAGGAACAAGCTGTATAACTGAACCCAGTGGGTAGTATCCGTGCGAGTGGGCGGCAGAACTCTTTCTGAGAACTTCACTCTCCTTAGAGAGGTTTGCACGGGAGGAAACCTACAGCCCTCACTCATCTCTAATGGCTAAATTGCCTTAGGTCAGCTCACCTCAATTCTGGAAAAACTGCTGCAACAAAATCTCTCTTCTCTGCACCTGCTCTGCATTCAACCAGCAACACAAGACCATTCCTTCAGAAATACCCAAGAAGATGAGTATTTGAACTGACACTATTAAAAATATTTATGGACAACTTATCTATTTCAGAAGGATTATATTTTTATGCCTGTTTATATAGCAAAAATGGGCACTATAATATTCAGCCCTACTTTAACTTCCAATTGTACACATCTCTAATCTCTTTACTTCTACCTGTTACAGGTCTACATCTCCCCCTAAACCAAAACTAACACAAGAGAGATCTTTTTTGTTTGTTTTGGTAGACCTTTATTCTGGGAGTTATTATGGCAGGAGAGACGCAATCATTTTTTAAGACTTTGCCCTTTCGTCTGAAATCATCAGAAATTGTGTATTCTGGATACACAGCTGTTTCTGAGCAGTTACTGTTGGCGTCCACCCGGACCACAGCCGTGATGTACACACTGTTTCCCGGGACAGCCTCATCCCTGCCAGGTGCCCATAGGCAGTCCGGCTTCAGAATCTCTCCTGATTTATGGTTAGGAACATTGATCACGGCAGCTACGTCGCGGCTTTGATGCTGGGGAGACTCAACCCACAGAAACAAGGAGGCTTCTTCAGTAAACTCCAAGGAGAGGAAGAGGCATATAAAGAAGCCTTTGTGGGCTGGGAATAAGTTAGTTTTTTCATGCGTAAATGCAATCATTACCTAAAATGCTCCCAGAACCATGCTATGTATTGGGGCAGCAGCATCATAGTTCCAAAAATAACTTTAAAAGAGAAGACGTGATTACTATCCTTCAGAAAATGAATAATGCATTTATATTTTATTCCTGGTCAGTGAAGGTCCAGGAAATGAATTCAGCTAACACGAACTACTTAAATGATGATGTAAAACAGCATCTCAATTAAGGGAGAGTTGAACTAGACTGACCTCGTGCAAGGGAGGACCTGTAAAATGTCTTTGATATGGTTATTT